GGAAAGAGAAAAATAGGTAGACCCAAGAAGAGCAGTGAAACCAACAGTAATTACTGGGCAGGCCTTCATCTGACAGAGTCCACAAAACTAGCCAAACATAGGGAAGAGTGGAAGAGGGTTGTTATAGCATCTAAGATGCCTCAACAGTCACAGCAGCCTCAAGGCTGACTTGATTTGACTTGACTTCTCTTGAAAGACTCCCATTTAACTTCAAAGAACTTACATGCTAAATATAACGTTTAATGAATAAGTACTCAACAAAACCATTAAAACTGCTCACAACACTAATATATAATGAAGCACATTGTAGATTATTACAATACTCTAGAAGACAATGAAATACACAAACAAAATATCTGTCTGATTTTGTCTGCTTAAGGCAGAATGTTAGTATTCCTATAACATTTTTATTATCTTTTCTTCAGTCTTTAATAGTGACATAATAATAAGAACCAAATCAGGTTAAAAGTTAACTTAAATGAACAGGGATATGGAAAATATACTCTGAACAGAGATAATAACCAAACAAATCATAAACTGCATGGCATCAGTACTAACTAAATAGTTTCCTTGTTAAATTTCTGGCTGAGTTTGAGAGGTCTTAATCACAATTTGATGATGTTTCTCTCATCAGGTATTAACACAATAAGTTTTATTGTTTTATATGAACCATTTTAAAACTTAAGGGAATGAGCAAGATATCAAAGGGCAGAACTTGAAAACTGGAGGGGAAAATGGGCTGACATGAAATTCTGGAATCTGGTTATCATTGGTAACAGGTTCAAGCACACCCGTCTTACATTATTTATACAGCATCAAGAAAGCCCAGTCCTCCAAGTCTTGGAAAATGATGGTGTACTGATAGAAACTGCATTGCATGTTACTGTCCCATACTTTTGGCAAAGTTTATGGTGGCAACACTCATTTTACCAAATAACAGAGTTGGTAAAGAGAGGTAGCTAGCTGTGTTTGTCTGAAGCCAGTCAGAAGGCAAAATAGATATGCACCTTTATAGATCAAGATAGATATATCTAAAGAGCACAAGTGTTCATAGTCACTTCATCAGATGCTGTGAAAGGACAAGATAGAGAAGAGTATAAAGTCGAATGAGTGATTAGAATACAACAGGTAGAAAAGCAGGAAGGAGCGGGGTGGGGAAGGGGTAAGGGAAATGCTGAGAGAGACAAACAAGCAAAGAACCCATAGGAACAAATGGGTCACAGAAGCTACTCCAGGTAATGAGATAAGAATCTGTAGTCCCTGTTTAAATCACACTTAAAAGTCCAGTTTGTAGATGTCTTGTTCTGCACTTTCCCATTCAAACTCATTTTAAAAAAAAAAAACTGCTTGGTCCAAGAACAAAAACAGAGTTTGTGAAGACACATCACCTGTGTGCATCATTCTTTGATGAATGTGTACACAAATGCTTGTAAGGGTTAACAGTTATGTGTACAAAAAGCATTTGCATACTCCTGTTTGCCTTCTGTGAGAAACGGTATTTGTATATGCAATTCTCTCATTTATATGCGCAAGTGATTACCAGGGATCCATATTTTCCATTTCCCACAGAAAAATGCAGAAAATCATTGATTTTCCCCTTTAAAGGAGAAAAACCCAAGAAACCATGGGTTTCCTCTTGCAGCCTGGCAGAGTTCCAGCCTGAAAGGGTCTGCTTGGGGCTGGGGGGAGTGGGAAGAAGGTGATCAGAGGCAGGGGGCTATGTGCATATGCGTGCACATACATACACGTGCCTGGAAATGCTGCCAAGCAACATGATGGAGAGCAGCTCCTGCAGCTCCCTGTAGGTACAGTGGGGGCACAGGCAATGCATGGGGGTGGCATAGGCAACACATGGGTGAGGAATGGAAAGGCACGTGCACCCCAATCCCCCCCCCCCCAATTTTTGGCCACACAC